TCTTCAGGCAGGCTATGCTTTTCATCCACCTAAACCTGAGGTGTTTGTATGTTAGAACAATTAATAGATAATAGTGTTAATAATTGCAATAATTATATAGGGAACTTCACTCCTCTTATTCCCTTGTGTAGGAGGTGATGTGAAGTTTGAATCCTTATAAACTCTCTCACTTGCATGATCACGCTTACACTCGTACACCTATACCTATCTCTATACCTATATCTGATTAACAAACATGTATAAGTTCATGAAGGAAGAATGTAGGGAAGAAGGGGCCAAGCTCTTCTCATTGGTAGCCAGTGATAGGACAAGGGGAAATGGGTGTAAGTTGAAGCACAGGAAGTTCCATCTCCATGTGAGGAGGCACTTCTTTCCTGTGAGGGTGCCAGAGCCCTGGAACAGGCTGCCCAGGGAAGTTGTGGAGTCTCCTTCTCTGGAGGTCTTCAAAACCCCCCTGTGCTCTGGGTGTGCCTGCTTGAGCGGGAAGGTTGGACTAGATGATCTCTAGAGGTCCCTTCCAACCTTGAACATTCTGTGATTCTGTGATCTCTGTCATAATATATTGCTGTTAMAAGTTCTTGGAAAAAAATAAGTCGTGGGACTTCATGTCAGGTTTACCTTGTAATTCAGTGGTAGTTTTTTCCCCTCCAAAGTAATTTTATATTAACTCGATCAAAATTARTAAAGACATGTGAAGACTCTTTCCTGTGCCACAAGTTTTTGCTAAGTGATAGCTACTGGTCATAGATAGAGAACAGTTCAAAATCTGAAGTGTCAAGAGCTATGGTTCCTGACAATAGATTGCCTGTAGGTTTAGATAGGAGAGATGTTTGGAACTGCACCTGAAAAACATTTCAAAGCTATCTTTGACATGCTGAAGAAGAGACTTTTTATTAATATACTTAAACATTTATAAAGTGGCACAGAGCTAAAGTAATTCCGAAGGTTGAATTGGACTAGGCAAAGATAGTGGAGTTCAGTTTTCCAGTTTTTAAGCAGTTCTTACAGCAGCAGTTCTTTTGACTAGAAGAGTTGGTAAATGTCAGGTGCTGACAGCTGATCCGAATAGTGGTTTACAGCATAACAATATTTTGTGATTGCTTGTATCAGTTTGCAGGCAAGCACATGGGGAAGTTATTCCTTCCCCTGTTTTTAGATAAGACCAGCTCAAGTGCTCTAAATTAAAGCAAASAAATCAGCAATGTTTACATGCTACCTTAAGAAAGCCAAGATTTCAGTTACCATGTTCCTTTCCTCTTGTGTCATCAGAGGAAGAGATTAAATTACTTTGTGTTTTGAGTTGTACTTACATAGATAGTGTTTGTATGGTGGTATTTTCCTGTTTCTCTAATGAGAGTAGATAATGATTAATAGCAGTTTTGTCTGTCTTTTATGGAGGAGAGTAGTTGATGTGTTCAAAAACACATTTTGAACTTCGTTGTCTGAACATACTGCCCAGAACAAGTATTTGATGTGTCAAAAGAGGGCAGAGTTGACTAGCAAGTTAGACTGTTTTTGCAACCAGTTGTTGCATTGCACAAGTATATCATGAAAGGAATATGCAGGCAACTGTAAAGGAAGAAATGCAGAATGWCAGTGTGTGGATGTGGGACTCAGAGATTCTGCATATTCACACCCTGTACCTGCTATTGGCTCTTCCCTAGACCCTTGCTGTGCAGGGGGTGAGGAGATGCTAGAAAGAATTGGCTCTCCACTGCCACTTGCTGTAGCCTCTCTTCAGTGCTCTCCCCTGAAGGGGAAAATGGAAAGGGAGCAGAAGAGCTGCTGCATCTGGTGGGTGCTTGCTGTTAATGTGCAGAGTCCGGCCTGAAAAACTATAATTACAAGTAAGTAGCTGAAAAAGGTGGCTTCTTCAGTCTAAAATACGTGCTAAGAACTGATGCTCAGGCCTGAAGTGATTTGATGCGTCTCCTGAACCCAGCATCTGATGAGATGAAACAGAAACTCATGTTTGGATTGAAGCAACTGCTAAATATTTTAAAAGAGCTCCCATCATTTAGCATAGCTGTGGTTCCCGGAACAGTGTGCTCTATGGGAGTTAGGAGGAGTAATTTACAGAACCAAATTTCCATTTTTAGTATGGCACAAAGATTTGAGTTTTCCTTTAAAAAGACAATTTATGATAAATCACTGCTGAAGTAAATATATTTTTTGAGTCCTGTAAGTAGTAAATGCAAAAAAAAAACCCCGAAGCATGTTAAAAATAATCAAAAAAAGTCATCAAAGTAAGATGTCAAATAAAAACTTGCTTGTTTTGGTAAATGGTTTATTTTCCCTCATCCAAACTAAAAAAATGTAAGCGTTCTAGATGTTCATGTTATATTAACACATTAGTTAAAGTCTGTTAAATTTTTGTTGCTAAATTTGTGTGCTCTTCTTCGAAGTCTAAAAAGGAGTGGATTGTCTTTGTCACTCTGGAGGGGGCAGTAGTGACAAAGTTTTAAACTGGTCACTGACATTGTTTCTTTGAATGGGATGGCTGTTCTTACTGCTTCCATCTAAAGGCAGATTGCCAAAATTTTGCCAGTAACTGATGCCAAAATTATTAGGAATATAATACATGTTATTTCCGACTGATAGAACAGTTTTTCACAGGCAGGAATGGGAACTCTTAAGAATATTGAAGTGACTGAAGTAGTTAGCAAGCTTCTTCTCAAACCACAACATAAATACAACCCTATTTTTTTTGTTAGTTTGTTTTCTCCATAGAAGATTAAGATTTTTGGTTAGAACCCTAACTGTAATGTTACATAGGATTCTTACATTATTAGACTTGTTGAATGTCATAAATAAAAAACAAGTAGGTAAGTCAATCCGCAGAGTTTCTTTGCAGTGATTGAGAAGCAAAATCTTTTGATTGACTCTCCTAATGTTCTGCTTCCCTGCCGAGAAAAAAAGTCTGTGCAGAGGGCAAGTGTTAGTATTGCTGTATTTCTTTGTAAAATACACAAGTTGATAAAATAACTTCTTAAAAAAAAAAGTTTTATCTACATGTCACAATTTATGATGTACATTTTTATTTCTTTTGCAGTCTACCAGAATTGGAATGTCAGTGAACGCAATACGCAAGCAAAGCACAGATGAGGAAGTTACATCTTTAGCAAAGTCTCTTATCAAGTCTTGGAAGAAGCTGTTAGGTATGACAGCACAAACTTCCTTTCCTTTTTAAACTGCACTTGCATGTTTTGACTATACACAGTCTTAAATTGGTGTTGCTGCCTTTCTTTAAATTTATCTGGGCTCCTGTTTTAGTATTGAAAGTTTTTGCACTGATTTTGTTTTTTCCTTCCTGCTTTGACTATCACCATTCCTGTGCACTACTGTGAAGTGTGTCCAGAGGCAAAGTCAATCTACTTTAATTGTTGGGACTGAGAAGCAGTAGCAAAAGCCTTTTTGTGACATGACTCAGTTCTGAAGTCTTGTTACCTGCCACTGAGCTAGTGGAACGAACAKCTAACGAGCCTGTTCTTGCCTCTACTTCCTTTGTCAAGTGTAACGTGTAACCTGAAGAGATTGTGCAGAATCTTACATAGAAGCCTGGAGGTTTTGAAAGTCGGTTATAAAATGTTTTGTGAAAGGGAAGAAGCAAAGCGAAAAGTTACCTGCAAATTGTAGGAGTTTTTCAAAGTCGGTAACTGTTTCTCTGAGTAGATCTATACTTTCTAATATCTTCTAGTTTAACTCACAATTTAAAATTATATGTTTAATTTCCCACGTAAGCAAGGAATGCAGCTAAGAAATCCTTTCTGTTAGTGTGTGTTTATTCAAGGTTGTTTTGGTGCGCTTAATGCAGTTGGAAACACTCAAAGCTTGAAGTAGTTCACATATTTTTGTTCATTGATTCATAATATCATTGCGGTGTACTCTATCTTTTCATATCACATTTCAAATACATTAGATGAAGGTTTAGAAAACTTGAAGTTGTAGAGTAGAAACCAGATTTTATTAATTTCTACAAATTTCAGGATTTGACATTCTATCTAGAAAATGTTAAATATCAGGAAATGTTAAAATCTAACATTTGAGGTCAGCCCAAATTTATCATTTATAAAGTGTTTTATCAAATACTTTACTACTGTAAATGGTGTAGAAATGACCTTATCCCTTTGGCAGCATATATCTGGACGAAAAATGGATAAATTGTGACTGCTTTCGTACTGTGTTTCCGTACAGTTTTTGTATTTGAATAAGAAGCAGCAACCCTTATGCCAGAGCTATTTCTTCACCTAACTTAGTTAGGTAATACTACTTAAGCTAACTTAGCTTCAAGTTAGRTAACACTAAGTAAGTTAGTATTAGAGATTAAAGTTAGATAATTCTAGATATGTTGTTACATCACTTTTTAAAATCATGATAGTGATTTGTCTTATAAATTAAAGGTGTATTTTACTAGCAATCTGATAGAAAGTTACTGGTAAATGTAAGAAATCACATACTTTWTATGTTTAAATTTCAGATCTAGGGTTGCAGTCAAATATATATGTGGTGGATAAAATGATAAGATGTATAACTGGAGAAATAGAGACACTGCCTTTCACTTGAAGTACTCTAAATACTTCTAAAAGCGGCAGCAGCTGTGCTACCCAGTTAAGTAGATTCATATATCCTTTAACATTTTTTTTAAGTAGTAAAAATATAATGAATTAAAAAGTCCTGATACTTCAGTTTAATTTTACCCTTCAGTTTAATTGGGGCARTAATATGGAGAAAATATTCTGGGTTTTGGTTTTATTTTTTATTTTTTCAACAATACTGAGCTTTTGATAATAATTTTAGATAATGTTTCATTTGAGCTAACTCTTCTGCAACCATTGAGCAAAGGAGTAGCTATTGATTTGTAGAGACAGTAAAAATAGTCTTCTGTTTTTCTTTAACCCCATATTTAAGTCAGTTRAACTTGTCAGAGTATATTCCTACCTCTAGCTGACTGTTCTTTGCTCAAACTGTTTCACTGAAATGAACAGAGAATTGTCCTCATTATGTTAGAACTAAAAGGTGTTCCTGCTGTCAAAGTGTAGAATAAGGTTGTGGTATAGGGATCATTATAGGCCTGTGCAAGCACAGGCTGCTGCTGCTCAGTGTTGGTCGTCACACTCTSTCTCCATCCCGTGCTGAAGCTAATGATCCTGTGGCCGCGTGGTAATTTGGAGCAGATAGAAACTAAGAATTATGTTTTCCTTCTGGACCGAATTTCAGCTGTATCAGCTCCTTGATGGAGCCTGTGTTGCCATCCCTGTGTTCGGCACAGGGGTTGTGGCAGCACCGTTCAATAGGGAAAGGTGGAACTTTCCTTTCTTAATGGCTTGCTGCATTCCGCTCGTCCTAGGACAAACAGTAGACTCAACGTTAAGGCTGCTTGCAGCAACTACTGCTAAACGTCTGAGGAACTGCAAAATACATAGCAAATATTGAAAAACAATTGAAGCCCGAAAATTCTTCTTGATCATAATGTACRCTTTATACTAAAGCATGATAGGGCAAATATTTTGCCTCTGTGTCACTGCCATTTCCTCATTATTTTATTAGAATTAAAATCTCACACCTCTATAGAAGATAGGGCATTAGGCTATTTGAAATATGGATGGGAGTCTTACAAAGCCCTCTTATTCTGTTTTATCATTAGTTTTGTCTTTCTCAGAAGACTACAAAATACCCTATGTTGAGCTGCTTGAGAAATCAGTTTCACTTATGCTGTTTACAGTAGCACGTAAAATGGTATGGATCAAAGGTGGCACCCGAAGYGGGCAGCTGTTAATCGCTGCAAGCATTGCACTCAGAGAGCTGAAGTCTTTGTGAGTTCCTTTTATAAACGACATTTTAAATTTAGGGAAGAATCTCTGTTCAGGCTGCAGGTAATGTCCAAGTTGAATGCTTTGGGAACTTGTGTTCTAAAAATGCATGGGTAGCATGAGAAGAAGTCAAGTGAAGTTTGAAATCACCAGATCATAGGAGATGTTTATGGCTGGATTCGAGCCGTACCGGCTTGCAGAGGGTTTTAAGTGAGGTGAGAAGCTGGCCCGTAGCTGCCTGGCACCGAGCAAGCTGGCGGTGCAGGATCAGGTCCTCAGGTGCCCTGGCGAAAGCAGGGAACTGTGTGGCCCACTTGATCACAACTTAGGTAAGGAAGCAGGTAAAGAGGCAAATTCTACTCTCAGAATAAAATATTCTTCAGTCCTAACGTGGGATTTGCAAATAGTGACACGGGATTTGCAGACAGTGACATGGAATTTGCAAATAAGTGAGTGTGTGTGGTAATATACGTACACATATACCATATGTATTTATATTATATACAGTTATGCTGTGGAGGTTATAAATAGGTTATTGGTTATAAGGTGTGTTTCTTTGTGTTCATCCCAAAAGGCTTCCTTTAAGGCATTTAATACTCTTCATAACAAGTTAATGCTTACTGACCTCAAAGAGCATACACTGAAAAAGAATGTCCAGACTTCTGGCTAAGTAAACCCAGTTCCAGGGTTTATTTACTGGGCTGGAAATGCAACATGACTGGATGATAAACTGATGTTAAAATGTGTGTCATCATATGTTGCTGGTGATAAAAGCTCAAAATTGAACCAAGAGCACTTTGAATTGTCCCTTTTATAAAAATGCATGCCTTGAGTAATTTTAAGAAAGAATGCCTCAGTGCTTAATGTTGGTAAGAGAAGATAGTGCCAGCCACGCTCTGTAGAAGTGTATCATTACTCAAATTTATGTATAAAATCTTCTGATATTTTGAACCTGGTTGTGATTCTACTGGATCGAACTGGTGCAGTCTAGGGCTCTCTTACAGGTACAGGTTACTGCTGTTGCTCAGTCAGATTCTTCAAGGGCATGAAATAACGTTCTGGTTTTACTTTTTCTACTACGTTATTAAAAAAAATACAAAAAAAAAMCRAAGAGGAAAAACAAGAACATCCTGAATTACAGTACTTAGGAATATTGTTTACTACTGATAGTATCTGTATAGGTCTGTATGAGAGACCTGTGATTCTGTGCAAAAATAGTTTTAGAATATCTCAATTTCCAAATCRAGTGTGATCTTTAGATACAACTTTCTCTCAGATTTATATTCGGAATTATTCAGAGTGCAATTAGCAGAGCTGTAATCTGTCAGGATCGTCAGTGAAAAGGTAGTAATACATACCTACATCCCATTATGAAGGAGGAAAAATCATGTGGCAAGTTCATGTGTCACGCACTTTTTGTCACTTTCTGTAAAAACAAAAGGCAAACAGTGCCTCATTTTAGGGGGTTATTTGCAGAATTCAGTTGTTCCTCCTGCCTGTGCTAATACCAAGAAGGTTTTTTTTTGATTTTTACCTTCAAGTCTTACTGTATCTAGCAGAAGAATTGGTACCAAACATACCTACTTGAGCTTCTCGATCTCATTGTTGCTCAGAGTCTGAAAATGGGGACTAACGCATTACTGAAAATGCGAATCACAGCTAAATCACTGACTCTGCCATCTGGTACCTTTTCTTGATTACTTTCTCTTAAATTAGTTAATTTTATTCCCGAATCCTTGTGGAACTTTCCAAGTTTTGATGGAGGTACCTGACTTAATATCTCATGGCAACCTACAGACTGAAACTCTCAGATACTTAAAGGGAATATCAAACTTTAATTAACTCCTCAGGAAAAAGACATCTTTTTTAAATTTCTTTAAAGTTAAATTTATGAATGAATACATTTGAATTAGCTTTTTCTTCCCCCTTTTACTAGTAGATGTCTCAATTTCACTGTATATATAATACTAGATTTACAGTTCATTAGATATGTAATAATGCTAAATGAAAATCTACAGTGAAGCTACTAATGGCTTCTAACATCCACATTAGCTTAGTCATCTTGTCTCTGGCCTTATATTATTACATGAAAAACTTTGTTTTGTTTGACCCTGGAGAGATTATTTCACTGGAAGAGTTTGGAATCTTTTAAAATATAATAAGATCTTTTAAAGAGGCATGATCCCWTCTTAGAGTTTATACAACTATAAATTATCTTAATATTTTTATACTGCTCCAGACTTTTCTGATGTGAGTCACTTTTGAGCTTGCAAACTTCTAAATACTTTTTCCAGAAGGCCTTTTTTCATCTTGATTTATTAGAGTTTCTGTGGTTCTCCTTAGCCCCCATTACTTACCATTTGCCATTGACTTAGCACCTTCCCTTGGAATCTAAAAGTAGTTAATTCATAAGGTCTAATTTCTTAGGAATAGGTATTTTTTAACCTTTCTCTAGAAGGTGGTTGATGTGAGATCTAGCAATTAATTGGCTAATGTTCTTTCACTGATACAATATTTAATAAAAAATCCTTACTGATGTGTGAGTTTAAGGAAAAAACACCGCTTGACACTGGATTGCTTGGCCTCACTCACCTTTGTGGGGTGTAAATTGGAAAACAGAGACTTAAACAGCTGGGAAAATATTTCCAGCAATTAGCTGCTAATGTTATAAATGTGTACTCCAATTTTGGAACTGGAGTAAACAATCTGTAATTCTTCTCAAGTGATTTAAGAAGTTGCCGTCCTGAGGACACGGTCCAGCCGTGGCAGCGGCTCGGCCTTGGTTTGAGGGCCGGCGGCGCAGGCCGCGCTGCCCTGACCTGCTGCTGCTCTCCTGCCTCCTGCGCCCGCCGCCGTGCCGGGAGGAGGCAGCTGCGGTATCGGCTCCTCCGGAGCTGCCTGCTGCTGCCGCCTCTCAGGTCAGGCCCCTTATTAAGGCACCTAGCTTAGATGTCTCGTGTTCGTTTTGTTTCAGACAGCACAAAATTACTGTGATGGCTTGTTTTTAATATGCACAACTTGTATGCGCATCTGTACAGAAATAGTATTGTAAACACTAAAGTATCTGAAAGAAACAAACCTCAAATCTGTTTAAATCTGAGTTGTACTCGGTCAGATTAAGAAGCAGTCTAGTATTGTCTCTCTAGGTGTTTTTCTCAAAAATAGATAGCTTAGAAACAACATAAGAATCCCCAAATGGTTGAGGTTGGAAGGGACCTCTAGAGATCTTCTAGTCCAACCCCCYGGCTCCAGCAGGGRCACCCAGAGCACGGGGCACAGGGCGGCATCCAGGCGGGTTTGRAGACCTCCAGAGAAGGAGACTCCACARCCTCCCTGGGCAGCCTGTTCCAGGGCTCTGTCACCCTCACAGGAAAGAGGTTCTTCCTCACATGCAGATGGAACTKCCTGTGTTTCAACTTGTACCCATTKCCCCTTTTCCTGTCACTGGCCGCCGCTGAGAAGAGCTCCCTGGSTGAGCTCACAAGGATACTTCTCCACAATATTTCCTCAGACTTGAAAAATTTACAGTTCAAAGATTTCCTCCCCCACTGTTTGTAACCTTGTATTTAATCCTTGGTAGACTACTTCATTAAAAAAAAGAAATGCCGATGATGCATTTGGATGGATAGTCTTTAAAAGGATTTATAAATATCCCTTGTATCTTTTTAAAGATATTAATACAATCTACTACCATTAATTAAAAAAAACTCACTTCATTAAGAAAACAATGTTATAACTGAATCAGTCTAGCACGTTCTCTGTTACAAGTCCTAAAATGTGTATTACTCAGAAAACAAATCCCAATTTTAATGTGCATATTCAGATGTATACTCTCTGTGGCAATGGTGGACATGCATGATAGAGAATTTTATGTTATGTACGTAGCTCATTTGCTGTCATCATTTTAAAGTAGTTATTTTTGTTTGAAATTTTGAGACAAACTGATTTGAAATTTTCAGACTCACTAGCTGTCTTGGAGGCATCTTGGAGGTATCAGGTTCTGGAAAACAGTGTAGCTGCACTAGAAGGGGCCTCTGCTTCAGCCCGGGTGCCTTCATGTTTTTTCTTTCACAGTTACAATTTACTAACCACTTGAGCCCATCACCCTGGGAGCGGGGGAGACTGGGRCCTAYTGAAAAAACAGTGGTGTTTKTTTGTTTGTTTGTCTTTTGTTGTAGGGGTTTTTTTTATGTTTAAGCAAGGATTTAGGTATCTAATTTAGGACATCTCCATTTGAAAGACTTGAGCCTAATCAGATTTTCCTGTTTTGCCTGGTGTGGTTTGAATATTCTTTAAAATTTGTGGTAGATGTCTTTATTGATAATACCATCTACAGGATTGGAAGAGAAGACAACATAATGTCAGGTTTGTGAAGGATTAGAGAAAGAGGAATTCACAAAATGTAGTTTAAGGTGACTGAAGCCACTCACTAAGCTTTCTCCATAGGCAGTGAGGGGAGTCACCTTTTCTGGGAAGCAAGTCAGGGTAGGAGCTTGTTTTAGTCCCTCTGAATTCCTCTTTATGATAACAGGCTATCTCTGTGTTTCTCACTAGACTGAAGGTAAATGTTGTGGATACCCTTTTAAATGACAGACTTTATTCTTTCAGATGTTGTAAAAATTATCATTAAACATATTCCATCTAGGGAAGACAAATTAAAGTCTTTTTAAACATTAAAGCAGCTGACTTCAAAGTAATCACAGAAGCTACTTAGTGCACATCTAGAGAACTCTTCAAAAAGTGTATGAACTTYTTTTTTCTTTTTGTTAGTGTTCGAGTAGAAATCCAGTGAGTATAATTAAAAAAGAACGAGATGCATTTAGTGGGAACTTAGATTTATTGCATGCAGGATAAACTGTAGAGACTTCGTGCGATGGTTTAGGAAGTTGTCTTCCCCAMAGCACAGCAGGTAAAGGGGAAGTGGAGAGGTGTGGTTTTTTGTCAGGCCCTCTCTGTCTGTTGAAGTAGGTGCTAGACTTGATCTGAAGTGCAAGCACACTTGTCATTTGGCTGAGCAGGGAAGAGTTTATACCTCAAAAGGAAGTCAAAGAAATGTGGAACTGGCCCAGAAAAAARCCATCAAAGATACTCTACCACTGCTTTAAAACAATTACTGTTTTAATATCTGATTTATTTTTTATTTATTTTTGGTTTCCAGATGGGCCTTCAACTGATAAAGATTCTGAAGAAAAGAAAAAGGAACCTGCCTCTTCCTCACAAAGCAGCCCCGAGGCAAGAGAAGAAAGGTGTGATGTTTGTGGTGATCCTACAGCCGATCTCTCTTAGATATAAATTAGCACTAGCCCGAGAAATAACCAGTATATGCAAGTACTTTTTTTGTCCATATTTGTCGTAATACGGGGAGTCTTTGCATTTTTCTGTTGAATGCATTCTGTTGTATAAGAAAGGCTGTCTTGTCAGGGAAGTACATCATGCTGTTGCTAACACTAAAAAAGAGAAAGAAAAAAAAAAGCCCTTATTTTCATATTTTGACCTGTGATTTTCAGGCTATTTAAGAGCATTTTTGGGGCTGTCTTTTCTGTTAAATACTTTTCTCTCTCAGTACTACTGCAGAGTTCTTGGAACTGTAAAACAGCTTCTAGTTGCAATTTTCTGGTAGAATTATATATATTAGAGGCTTAGCATTTCTTTTTTTCTGTTTGCATTTGCTAATAAATGTCATCTTATTTTGCACGTTGATAAATGCAGAGATGTCKTCAGAAAAATGGGCCTGTGCTCATGACATGTTAGGAACTGAAGAACACTTGCAAAATGGTATCCAGATGTCTGTAGGGTTTTTCACGCAATTGTGCTTTTAGTGAATCTCAAAATGAAATTGCACCTTTAATCSCTTGTCCCGGTGTGAGTTGAAAAGACCCTGAATAAAAGTTTCCTGTTCATGCACATCAGAGAAAACTAAGAATTTAAGTTTTTATCCTCTATATAGAGGTTCAAAAAATCTGTCTCTATAGAATTCCCCCTGGTGAATATTTCAAGGACACTTGATGAATTGTAATAGAGTTCTAAATAACTTTAAAAATGTGATCTGTGTTCTCTTTATTCATTACTGTYCAATGGATGTAGCTCAAGCATTCTGTTTTACTCTGGAACTAAGCTGTTGATGGGGGAAAAAAAACATGTTTTTTTCTGCTTCTTTTTAGCAGTTCAAGTAGTAATTCCAGCAGCAGGAAGGAAGAGGGTAATGCTCCCTCAAATTCTTTCATCCCTTCTTTTCCCCGTGCTCCGAGCACTTCGGATTCTGTACGAGTRAAGTGCAGGGAGATGCTCTCTGCAGCGCTCAGGACAGGAGGTGAGCTTTGCAGAATTTGACTGTTCCCTTTCCTCTCCACTTCAGCCTTGCCCCCTCAACCCTCACAGTTTTTTCCTCAGATTATGTCCATTTGTGTACATATATCTGTAGGGTAGTTTTGCACGTTCATCCAAATTACAAATACTGGGCAACCTTGCAACGATGGGAATGCACTGATTTTTATTATTTATTTATTGGTGGCTGGTGATACAGGGCACTTTGTAGCCTCCATTAGTCTGATGTCCTTCCTACAATGAAGTTTCTTTTCATTCTTTTCATAGTATTTTTCAGGATATTGCCTCCATAACGCCTCATTTGAATCTTTTTTTTT